CCAGGAGATGATAATCCGTATACGTTAAGAACACGATGACATAAGTTTCTCTTTTCCCGCCACATAATCTTGTTACCATTGAACAGGTTAGAGCGGGTTGCACCGCCTTGTAGTATCCCCGTGGTAGGTAGAGTGAGTATTGCCAACTCGTATACAAAGCCAGAGATTGTTGGGCGATAATTCGCAATAAATCCCCCTTTGCTATTATGATTGGAGTTAAGCCTGGTTGAGCACAAAACACAATGAGATTATCACCGGGTATAAATATTATTCTTGAGGGGTTTAGAACCATACCGGAAATCGTGTTAAAATATTTGTTAAACCTTTGATTGCTTGTAAATATTATTGATTCGATATTGATCAATTTCTCAGTTATATTGAATCAATAATAGGATTGAAAGATGATTTAGAAAAAGATTTTGTAAATCTGTGGAACCGCAATAAGGAAACAGTATGGTCCTTCAGTATAACTAAGGCCAACTAACCAGATAAGCTATTCAGATAATTGAATTTTACCATAATATTTTTCTTGGGAGGTAATTTCATACGAGTTTTACAAATAAGTCAGCGATTATGTAAACTTCAATTCAAACTACGCAGTTGTAACGTCTGGTCCGATCTGTGAATGAATATTGGGTATAATGTTAGGGAACTCGAATGAGCGATATAATGATTACAACTGGCATTGACTTCATAAAGGCGTTTGACGTTTTGCAATTTAAATGAACAATGGTGATTACGTTGCCAACATCTTTGAGATATATGGGGAAATGTTCAGAGTTCAATTCAAAAAAATTAAATGTATTTTTTGCATTTTACCATGCCTATCATCTCTATGTGTTGCTCTGTGATTTTGCTTTTGTGGCCCCTGTTTTCTATGACCGGCGCTCGGCGTCTGTATCAAATGGTTGCATCTTCATAATTACAACCAGGCGGTGGCATTTAGCATTTTATATAATGTATTGTTTAACTTAATTAAATCTGGTCGGCATATTCAACGACGCAATGATTTTTAGATTATTAGTACTTTCTCGCGGAGTAATGGAACAATTATTTATGGAATTACTTATTGTTCATGTAACGTTGATGTCAAAATACCCATATTGTTGATCATATTTGTTTGACAAATTATCTATAATTGAGATAGTATTGGAGGATAATACTGGTAAAATTTATTAAGACCAGCATAGTCAAATAATTGATATTTGCTTGTGACACGAATCCACGGTGACCAATTAAATCTACCTCTTCGCCAGTAGAGTCACGTTCAAGTAGTGGCGTCCGTGTTCGAGCTGCGGGCATCACTTCGCCTCATCGCGTCCGCGAAACCCGACAATTCATTGCTAAATCAATCGATCCTCTTTTAATGATCCACTTGTATCATCGACGCATAGATGAGCCGATATTAATGATAATAAACCGATATCAAAGGCTTTGTCTTTCACTGGATAAAAGAACGAAGAAAACAAACATGGCGTGAAATGCAAGTAGCCATTTATTAAGCATGTAATTCTAACGGAAACCATATTTCAATCATAAAGTGTTTTGTAATCGAAAATGTCCACTTTAATTAATAGTGTGTTCCAAATTAGAGGAACGAGTTTTGTTTTATGACAACTAAACTATGTGTATTAGGTGTGATGGATTACTGATCCCTGGCCCTACCCCCAAGACGCACCCTGGGGTGAGACCTCTTCTCTTAGATAATTGTCACCAGTTCTCTAATTTAAAACAGATATCGGCAATAAGTGTCGTTCATGTACTCTAATAATATTATCCCTGTTTGTTAAATAACATGCTTTGAAGTAATTTGTACGAATTAAATACTTTGATTACAGAACAATACTGTTGGCGAACAGTGAGTTATATTTTATATCTGGCATTGATACAATGTTATTGGGAGGAAAGGTGGCCGATAAGTGTCGTAAAATATCCTCATTTTCTCGGAACGTTCTTTTATCTTTACTAACATCTTCGTTACATATAGACTCAAGTCGTTGCCTAGGTGAGGCGATAATAAACAAACATTGGATCATTTCGTAGAAACAGAAGCTGAAGTGATGTCTATTATCTTGAAAATGGCTTTTAGGGGTTTGTATAATTTTGTGTTTTCTTAGTTTACATTTTGTGCTTTTCAAAAGACATCATACCAGTTGCTTTGAAGGCTCAATATAAAACACATTGTTTGTTGTGTTATTTGAGTCTTACCCAAAATTCCTAAAATTCAAGATACGGATGGTAACTCTATCTTTCATATGTCATCGCGGAAATTACATAAATTACGCCATATAATGACGGTATGCATGACCTTCTTTTTGCAATTCATCGTACGTTTACAAACATCAGAAATTTTGAATTTATCGCACTCTTTTGTTGAAAAACTGATTTCGATATCATATTTCCAGAAACATTAATTATTGATGGAACAAACAACATGATTTAAATATCGGTATTTTATGAAATACATAAATGAATCAAACTTGTAGCACCCCACATGCGACCATTCATTAGTACATTAATGAAACAATAATCGAAAATTTTCGGTCTAATCTCACCTAGTGACAAGGTTGTTATAGTTAAAGTAATACTTTTGAAATATTGTCACATTTTACTTTTTTAACAACATTCCATTTCATGCATATATATTTTTTAAAAAGTTCAACGAACTCCAGGCACAGTCCTGAAAATCAAAAGGACATTTGAGCCCAATTTCTTAAAATAGGGCCAAAATAGAAAAATGTTAGCTTGTTTCCAAAAATGATGCAGTATATGTAGAAAGAAGCAGATTTTAGGCCCTTAAATATTTTTGGTGGGCCCACCAAACGCCCTTGACCCTCCCATATCAACCATTTCAGTATAACCCTTTGAATTAAAGTAAAAGCTTGTCTGGCAACACATTGAAAACCCTTTCTGTATCTCAACGCTAATTGTTAAGGCTATAATTTCATCAGACATCTCAATTCCTTTTCAGTAAATAAAATTAGAATTGTACAGAAATATTGTCAAGTTTTTTGAAAATATTGCATCCAACATTTTGCACTCACTGTGACCATAGTTGAGAATAAAAACTCTAAAATAAGTGCCAAAAGACCAAAAACTATTAAAGAAACCTCGCAAGCAGGAAAAGCAAACCGTTCAATAAATTCACGAAAAAAATTTTTTCTCAAGAAATTTTCACATAAAGTGTAAAGAACATTTAGTTATTGATTTAAAAGATATCAGCATCTCTAATTTGATTGGTAAAAAATAATGGTTACTATGGCGTATTTTGATATATTAAAAATTCAGGGATATCGTAGCAAATGAAATCTAAAATGAAAGTAAATTCTGTAACTGATCACATCATAGCAGTTAGCCCATTATAATCAGTGTGGATCATCCAAATCATTTTTATGAGATGAATGTTTATTCTATGATTTGACTTAGATATAGAGTATTTAGAAAATATAAAATAACATAGAATGGTATTAAGCTCTAAGTTCCGAATATTGAAATTACGACAATTTCCGGAAAAAGTTCCTCTACATTTAAGTCGAGGAAATGCGTATGGTTTTTGAAAATACCATTTTAATGTGAATGAAGGTACATGTAAGTAAAAGCCATGTAGGTACGTTGTTTGAAAATTTAGTCTTTCGATCGTTTGTATCTGAATGATAAAAAAAAGTTTTTTAAACATTTTATTTGGACTCAAGTTTACAAGGGCTACATGTCGATAATAAACTACGTGTAGTTTTTATTATTCAATAATTTCCTTGATACGAATTTACTTCGTTAGTGTGATTCCAAGCCTATGCAAAAGGAGTTATAGTCCCAACAGATAACGGTCCCCCTTACTGGCCGTAGAAAATTACTTATAAATCGTACTTCATTGTTTGACAAATCAAGATGAATTCAGAATTCTGTGTTATAAGGAAAAGGGGTTTATCCCAGAATTCATAGAATCTCGATGTAAAGATTAAGAATTCCGGGGTATTTCCGCCTCTTGTTATGAGATACCTCTTATAATTCTGAAATTTTAAAGTAAGAAATTTGAAGTTTTGGCCTGTTGGAACAAGAAATATTATTGCAATGCTTTAATTATTTATAAGTAATGTTTGAGTAATGAATAGATAATAAAATTTGATTTGACATTATTTTTAAACGGAGTTCACTCGGATTCCATCATGCAAAATTTATTATTTTCCAGTCTCTATGTTCTGATTATAAGCATAAGCCATATTTTCCAGAAAGAAGTGTACGTTTTTTAAATATTCAATCTCAGATTGATGTTTACCCAGACAGCATGTCAATGTAAAATTCATACTAATTCATTTAAATATATATGGGTTTTATAATCATATGTTCTAATGAAAGAGCCATGACGGGAGCAGAGTTAAACACAAAATGTAGTATTGTAATATAACTTGAGTTGTATTTCGGTGTGGAAACTTAAATGTTTTTGTGGACTTTTATTTGTTGTTTTTATCACTGTCATGAAATTCGATTTTATATTTAATCCTGTTAGGAGAGTTTTCGTTTGCCACCATGGGTTGTTATGACTGAATTTAAACATTTTTCTACCTGAATTGGAAGTAAACCTTTTGATGTACGATGTCATAACATGTCAAAACAGTCCTTTTAATATTATATATAGAAATTATAGATAGTGTTATTTTGATAAGAGTGTAGCACGAAATGCATTTTCGTGAACGGGATGTATATAATAAGCTTTAATAGACTATAATACAATGTGGCATAGATTTATAGTGCGAAAGACTATAATTGTGTATTGTACACTGAGGGTTATTTAAGTACCAGTTTAACTCTAGCTACATGGCGTTTTGTTAAGAAAATATAATTGCAGTATATTACAAGTAGGGACCTATAAATTCACCAGATAACTATTTCCCAAAACACAAATTAATGAACTAAGAACATCGCTGACAGCAGCATGACTAGGAGAAGCCATAGTAATAGAAAAACTTATTTAGAAGAAACCGAATAAAAAACAGAGAAATAAATATTTATGTTTTTACATTTTATTTCATAATAAATAAACGGTTTATATACAACATATTTCAAATTAACGAAGGTGAATACACTTCGACATATTTAAATCAAGTCAATCAATTCTTGTCAATACTGAATGCACTGCTAGAATCAAAAATAAATGACAACGGTCAATTTAACTAATCTTTGACACTTGTCACAGAGTTGGAAAAAACATCGTGTGGTTTTTGATTTGATTATACCAAAATATTTCTCTTAATTAACTGAAACAGCAAGTATTTAGAAACTTTAATACTTATTTGGCAAACAATTGAATGTTCTTTAATTGCAAATAGCTAATAAATAATACACTTGTAATTATGTAGTATTGTTATGTTTTAATATTTGTTTTAGTTTTACCTAATTTAACTCTCAAACAACAATGCACCTGTTGAAAATATGAGCTAATTTAAACAATTTGATTTATCCAGTTTTGAATCAAAGAAATTTTAAGATAACATTTTAAATCGAACAAGAAAAATTCTTTTAGACAGATAACAATTAAGTTAGAACATTTTGGTCCATTCGGGGCTTTATAAAAGTGTCCAGGTTGTTTTTAGAAACAATAACTGTCCCAGCTCCTGTAAATATAGTTGTTCAGTATGAAATCTGTTATGTTTGTCTCGCTGCAATTGCGTTAAATGCAGAGTCTGTGGTTGAGTTATGTGTTGGTATTCCACTAAGATGACTAGGGTATGATGCTAGGGACGATAACGCCCCTTGATTTAGGCTTCTAAGTCCAGCGTACAAGTCCGCGTAAGCTGCAGGATTTGCCCCGAGATGGGGAAGAAAGTATGCAGCGTGTGGCATTGTAAGTCCGGTGGGCAACGACGCCCGAATTGTCCCCGTAATGCTGCTTGATCCCGCGCTGCTACTAGCGGGCGAGAAATTATTATCATTGCTAAGTAGTCTTTCAACTGAGAAATTATTTGGAACGGCTGGTCTAGTTACAGTCGGGGTAGGGTTCACGATTCCCTGACTTTGCAGCTGTAGAGACGTCGGTAACCCGGGCAATGTGGGCCCGTATCGTAGAGCAGGATGTCCCGCTACGGACAACACTGATGCAAGACTCGGCCACAGCATTGGAGATTTGAGAGCATCAGGTGGAAAACCATATGGTGGATGGCCCATGTAGCCAGTTCTCTTGAAAGCGGCTATGCGACTTCTAGATGCCGCTGTAGATCGTCGCCTGAGTTTTCCGGTAGTGCCCCCGATGAAGACATCATCACTGGATGGGTCCAACATCCAGTAGTTACCCTTGCCGGGATCGTCATAATGTCGAGGTACCTTCACGAAACACTTATTCAGGCTAAGGTTATGGCGAATGGAATTTTGCCACCCCTGTTTATTGTCTCTGTAATATGGAAAGTTTGTCATTATAAATTCGTAGATCCCGTTCAACGTTAGTCTTTTCTCCATACTACTGCGTATCGCCATCATGATTAGCGCGTTGTAGCTAAATGGCGGTTTTTCCGATTTCTGCTCACTGTCCTTTGCCTTATCGGCACCATCCTTTGACCCTTCTTCATTGTCATTATTGTCGTTCATGTGTGCGCTATGAGTGTCCATGTCTGACGTGTGAGACGAAACAGGAGATGGCGGACTAGGTACTCTAACGTCGGGCTCGTCTTCTCCAAGAACACTGCTAATACTGAATGAACTTTTTAACTTAGTTGATTTTACGGTCTCCATATTGACCATCTTTATTCTGCTTGTGATTGTATTTTATTTATATCATCGATTGGATTCAGTTCCGTAACTTGTCAGGTTTCGCTTCTGTGTTGCTAAATGGCATTTATGGCAGATTGGCCCGTGCTTTTATTCATATTGGCAGCCTGTGTTTGATACACTTGCCGCAAGCCAATCAGCGCCGCGCAATATGCAACAAGCCCCGCCTTCCCAAACAAGACAGAAACAAATGACAGATGATAGCGTTCGTTAAGCCAAGTTTAACTCAAACATAACAGTTATACTAATCTGCTTCTATTTGGAAAGAGGTATGGCTCTCCAGTCCAACATGTCACAGTTTGTTAGGTTTTATATTTGGTTACGATGTGTAAAGTGGGCAGTTAAAGGCAAAGTGGTAACAGGTCCGTCCCTTCGCTTCTCATTGTAGAAATCTTGTCAACTGGATAATACATCCACTAAGCCCCTTTTTAAAGTAACGAAATTATAATTTATGAAAGCAATGACAAATTGAGAATTGCTGTGCATTGAAAATCTATTGGGGTTGACAAAAGAAAGCAAAATTATACAAAACATTGGATAGAATGGTGTACCTCACAAGCGAGTTTTCAATTATTTCTCAATAAAAACTCTTAGAAAAACATACTTGGACCATCATTTCTTATTTGAATTATCAAAATAAATATTTTCTTTAAATTTTACTTTTTACACGTTAAGCATGGTAAACAGGCAGAAAGGCATATTGTTTGATAACATATAGAAAGTTAGAATAATATGACAGCCCCTTTCAGCAGGTTTAGAATATTGCATTGTGAAATTCGTGTAAAATAAACATTCATAAAACATGCACGGTGTCACAATATATCTTGTCAAACTGTATCAATTTAAATAAATGTCTTACTCAAAATTCACGCAAATGCTCAATTTTGTGATATTTTTCATTTTCGAATAGGCTGTATTACGTGTACGACGTATTACATTTGAAAATATTTTACACGAACGTATCACATTTGCCGTAAATGTACGTTTTACAAAGACGTATCACATTTGCCGTAAATGTACGTTTTACACAGAGACATATTACACTTGCCGTAAATGGATACGTTTTGCACATTTGTATTACATTTGCCGTAAATGTACGTTTTACATGGGCGTGTTTCATTTACCGTAAATGTGCTGCCTGAAATGTCCATTTTACGCATTACGTTTGCCGTAAATGTTCGATTAACACAGTCAAGTTAGCCGCGTTTTTCACAGACGTATTGCTTTTTCCTACGTTTTACACAGACGTATTACATTTGCCGTGATGACTGTTTTCCACAGACGTTTTACATTTGCAGTAAATGTACGTTTTAAGCTGTCCACGGAGCGTAAAATTAAGAAATCCTGAAACGTGCTCTTGTTAGAGTAAATTCTGCAAATGTCGCTACAGTGAGTTAAAGACATGACCAATTAGTTTGATTAGTGCAAATATCTGGCTTGAAACCATTCACAGTTCTAGCACTTATGAAAGAAGTCGTTGCTAAAAGGGCGTGTGTTGAATTAGATTTGCTTATTTTCCAACTTAATGATCACAAAAACATATTTAGAAAACCATAACGATTGTATCGAGCAACACGGCAAATTGTTGATTAAATGAATCAGAAAAAGTGACTAAGGGGATTCCAATAATTGCCCTATCTTCGTATTGCTACAAACACTTCAATGCGGTTAATGAGAGACGTTCTCGAGGTAGTTCAGTTGAAGCGACAGAACATTGGGATAATCACCTGATCCACTCCCGAGGATATATCACGTCCATGAGATTTTTTGAATCTTATTTTCTCGCCGTTCTTAAATACAGTATTAAACGGTCTCGATTTTGCGTCATCATCCAGATGTAAAATTAACGGACGTAGAGGTGGGGTCGAATGTAAAGCTAGGCGTACACCAATGGGACATGATGGGACATTATGTCCCAAGAAAAGAATGAACATGTTAATTCTTTCTTCTTGGGACATTGCCGGACAAATGAGGGAGGGGCATTTTATTACGTGATGATCATATGATCATTTTCGGACAAAATGGCGCAATATTCCAGACAACATCGGAAAAAATGGGTTTCTGGTCGACTTGTGAAAGACACGTTTCACTTAATTTGTTTATTTCTCGTACAGTTTATGCAATTATCACGTGTCATAAATTAAATTGAACTGCTCTTGTCATAGATCGGCGGAGATATGAGATCCCCGAGACTGGCATTGGCTAGGTAACAAAATTATATAGTTAATTTGATTACCTCTGTTATAGATAGGGAAGCTTAGTTATCAATCAGTTACCAATGCCAAAAATAAGGAAGCGAAGCGTTTCACTTGTAAGAGTTGACACTCAGCCTATAACTGGATTAGATTCATACTAACCCCTCCCGGCCTCCCTAACCCCCGGCACTACTAGATTAGTCCAACGTATTTGTTGATTCATCAACATAACGTGGCACCGCGTGTTAATTAATTTATTAGTAGTGTAAGAATTAGCAAATCGGTCGTGTACGTGTATCAAGATAACGACTGGTCAGCATCAAGCGAAGGTAACGGCCGTAACCTTCGCATCCAAGATGGCGGACGATAATTGTCGATTTCGACATTTTTATTTTTAATCGAATTAATTACTTTATAGTTGACGTTATGCTTTGTTATTTGAACCAAATCGGGTTTATATATGACATGGAAACTGGAATATAGAAATTTGTTCATATATCGTGCGTAGGCGCCACAGTTCAACGATATCTTCCACCGCTTAAGGGAAGGTAACTGGAAATGTATGATACGACAAGGGATACGGCAAAAATCATGTTACTTTCTTATATAATCCTTGGGGATTATGTTTGTCTTTTGATCATCCAAACGGTACGTGACAAGTGTAGCCTACCATGACGCAGTTTTCAAAAATGAAAGTAGTTGCTTACTTATGCCACCCATGATTTTGTGTCGCCCAACTAAGGAGGCAGTAAGAAATTAAGTCGAGACAAAGTTTTGCCAAAACAAACAATTGCGTATATCTCATAAACAAGCCGAGGTTTATAGGTGTAGAGTTGCAAATGAGTCTGATACAACAAAATACCGAACAAACAAAACTTGGGCTATTTGATATTGGATAACGTTCCTCATTGATTTGCTAAAATGATATATCTCAAAAGTAGCGAAATGGTTCAAGCTCATATCCAAATTGAGCAAAGGTCATATTCTTATTAGGTCAAGGTCATATCACAGACTAGGTCATGTCATTTTAGAAAAAATCCAGTCCAGGGGGAGGGGTTCAAATTTGACTATTTTTGCCCGAACCACTGTGCTGAAATGGGTGAAAGTTATATGATTTTGAGACTTTGGCCCGAAGCTCTTTCGAACCCCCGAACCACGTGCACCCCCTCCCCGGGTCCCCTTCCCTTGGCTACGAGCATACGTAGGCTGTTCTCAGGAATCCATGTCAATTAACAATCTACCATCAGAAATAGCTATCCATGAACTGGTATCAAGAATCATGCAGAGTTCCAATAAACTAAGCAAATCCATAGTCTCAACATCGTAGAATCAAAATAAATACACACGTAGCGTAATTAAAGTGCTAATTAAGACGGGTCTGTTTCAATAGGATGGTCAGTCTCAAGTATCATGGCAGAACACAGCACTGTAAGCCGTATGCTCTAATAGTGATATTGATATCATTATCGTTTCACTTCTCAGTTGATATCATTGGCTTTCTGATAACTCTCGCAAACAGAATGTTAAGAAAATATTTACGATTAAATAAATAAACAGATTATATTTGTAATTCCAAGTGTTTCTGGATCACGTAATACTGAAATTGTGTTGCCTATAGTGGGCAGATTGTAGTACACGGATGAGATGGAAACTAATTTATTAGCAGGCTTCTTTTACCTCTCGTTCTTTACCAAAAAGGAAAACGCATTGATGATATCTTATGAGGGAAATATAGAATAAGATGACGCCTAAAAATTGCGTCGAATTTGATGTTTGACTATGATAGTAAGTGCTGCCATCTTTCAATGGCGTCCATCGCACAAAGGAGCCCACTCGCCATCAATTTCAAGCTTTTAATACCCAAAACTTTTAGAGATACCCAATACATAGACAAAGACATTTCATAAACCATATACATTTGGCTTTAGTCTCATAACTAATACGTTTCCAGGGTCAAGTTTACCTTAGACCAACCTACCCTCTACAGGCCCGTAGCCAGGGGGGGGGGGGGGGTACGCAGGGTTCAAATATTTTTTCAAAATCATGCAGTTTTTCACCATTGGCCCCCCTTGGCAAATCCTGGCTACGGGCCTGCTATAAAACTGCCGATATCAGCCTTAAGACTCACAAAACGTATACCCCAAAGTCTCTTGCTGTTAACACAAGCCTCTAGCGCTACGAACCCAGGGCGATCAGGAACTGCCAGATAATACAAAACGTAGGCTGCTACACAAAACATTTACTTTGCTATTAAACATTTGGTGCTAAAATGTTCCCGTTTGACTTTATGTTTTAAACAAAATTAGTCAGTGTTTACTAACATAGCTACTGCCTCCCAAGATGTGAGATAAAAACCTAAACGCTCCAAAGTCAGCTTTCAGATCGGAGTTCTTCGAACAAAGTTAAGTTCAGTGGATTTCTACCAGATTGATGATGTTTTAAGTTAGGTATACAGCGTAGAAGTAGCCTGATGTTTGTTTTTATAAAGATATCAACTTTTGACACCGTGTTTGCTAAAGAATGATTAAATGTTACCATTAAGAAGTAGTTTCAGTTGATTTGCTGTGGAACTTTTAGACGATTGTTTGACACTTAGACGAGTTATGTGTTCGTCTCGAGCACCTGCGAGATAAATCGCTCCACATATGTCTTCTTGGCCTTTCTTCTTTTTTCGCATCTAAGATATACATGGTGTAGCATTATATTTATACTGCAAAACAAAGAGTAGGCCTACGTGTATCATGATTCTGTATTAAACAATCAATTGTTTTAAACAATCAACCAATCAACAGCTGAACAATCAACAATTACATTTTAATAATTATAACCAGCAATTCTATAATTAAGAAATTATGCTTTAAATATAAACAACAATTTCCTGATGAATAATTTCTTAAATACCTAAATACATATATCATATATAAATACTTTAGAACAACCATCGGTCCTACGTTACATAATTAAAACAATCAACCTCGATTTTGGCACTTGATGTAAAAGCACGAACTGCAACTTTTGGACTAAAGACCGTACGAACCTAAGAACATCTGTTTAATTTACTACACATGAGCATATGTACTGTACATCTAAATAACAAGTGAAATAATAGGCTCTTATTAATCAACATCTCAAAATCTCGAATTTGATTCTGAAAGACTGTATTCACTATGCATTTTCCTTATAATATTGGCCATTTTTTGGCGAATCATATCTATAATATATTCATAAAAACAGCTTATGAAGGTTAATTTTTTATATTTCCCTTTTAAACCACATTAATTATATCAGGCTGATAAAATACGACGTCGATCGATGATCTTTTTAAGATATCAAGTTGACACTGTATTGTCTGTTTGTGTTCTACAAATAGGTCAATTGGATATACAAGACATCTTCAAAACATCCCGTGATGTACTTGATATAAACAGACAGCGTTTGTGAAGGTATTGTCTCATATACGCCGGTAATATACACACCCCTTTACTGATACAACGATGAAGATTTTCCTATTTCTTGGATTGATAGCGGCTGTTTACAGTCAAGCGGCACGACGATGCGGTAAATAGGTTTTGTAATTTTAGTTAGTAGTTTGTAGTGTAGGAGTTAGTAGTTTAATTGGATAGTTAGCAGTTTAGAATTGTGTGTCATTTGTTTAGTACGACTTTCGATAGTTTAGTATTTAGAAAGCATAGTACCAACAATGCAGATAAAGAATTATGCTTTCAGAAACTCCAAAACAGTGGGAGGCCGTCATCATCAGGGTATGTATGTTTTCTTTCCTGAAACCAGTTTTACAAGTTAAAAAAATTATCTTCTTTAATTTGACAATTAAACCCCACAACTCGAGTTTGGCTCCCATCCATCTTCAAATGACTTTATTTATGCTTAAATTCATAAATAGAAATACTATATACCCTTGCTACAAGGATGGAACTGGGCAATGGGCATATTTGTCGGTATTTTCACGGCATTGATTGATTTTATAATTATCAATAGATGTCGTTAGGTTCATATCATGTGCAGATTTCCTATTTCCAAATCCAATTACGCCATCTTTAAAATACGTGTAAAACGAAAATTATCTTTGATATCTGCATAAGGCATACTTCTGAGTCTAATGGTTCATTTCCTTTATAAATATGCATTATTTTGTGTTGAAGGGTTACCTTGTCTCAATTTCATCGGAGGGAGAGAGTAAAATCAATTCAAAAACTAATACGTGCCCTTACCTGTACTCTATCGTCCGCTCAAAGATATTTTATACAAAAGCTACGACAAATATTTTTTATCCATTCACATACCTGACTGAGAACTGTAAAATTCCCTAATGTTTTTTGATATGGTTCACTAGACCTGATTGTTTGTAGCATGACCACACCGACGATTTCTCAAGTCGAGCAAAGTTGTCCTACGATGCTTTTGGAGAGAGATCAAGAGAGACTGAAACCGTATATATGAACGGCAAAGAGGCTTTCTACGACATTCTAAGATTACATAAAGAGGTATGTGTGTTGCGGAATAATTTCCAAATTCGTCAAAACTCGTTTTTATTGATACAGTTTTTACAGTATTGTAATTTTAAGGAAGGCATACTCATTTTAGTCTAGTATTAAAATTGTGTTATCGTGTTATCGGACAATATATGAGGATTGGGTTTTAACGTTTTTGATTGCCTCACCGGGCTTTACTTTCTCAGTCCACATATAAAAAATAAAAGCTTTGGGGCTCACTGGATTTGGATGAATCTACCATCTCTTGGATATGACGTCTGCATCACTAGCTCGAAGTGTCAGCTTTCTACATTTAGTGATGTCTCGAGTATGTGCTTTCTCTTGATGCTTTTCGGTAATGTATACAGTATTGAATAACTTTTACGATGCATGAACTATTTTAGAGAGTTGAGTTTGTAGTTGATATTCGCACCAAGAAATGCGAGCGAAGAGAATTGACCTACCCCTTCAGACCATTTGAAATTCCCGAAAATGCCAGGAGTTACGGCGAGGCCTACATCGGGGGAAGTCTTCTTGGTTCCGGTGTCCTGATCAACCAATGGGAAGCCAATATGCCCAATGATGGTAAGTAAAGGCAATTTTGAAAACACATTCTTAAGAACTTATTCTCCAGAACTTTCTTATGGACAAATATCAGTTACTAATATCCTAGAGACTCAGTACGAAAGATCTTATTTTCAGTTGCATGACTATTAAGAAAACTGAGAGTTAACCCGAGGAATACGTATTTGATAGTTGTAGTTGCACTTTGGTTTTTGGTTTGGTAACATGGTCATTTCAAATAATAGTCTTATCAGCTGTAGCTGATAAGTCTAAGGAACAGCGAATCACTCTGCTTAATGGTTGTGTTCGGGAGCGAACAAATGGTGGTGCATGTCGCGTGACTAAAGATTTCACGTTCGCGATGTGAGAATCGTGGTTCGAGTGCAAGTAACGTAGTTCGCAAGGTCAGAACTAATGTTTGCGTTGGTGGAAGTCTAGGAGGCCTGAAAATATATTTCATAGATTCTGATCTTTTACAGCAAAGTGGACTGGACAATGGGCAATTGATGGTTGTATTCCTGTCTATGATCATTACTGGCACAACTATGTCAACTACACTTCATACCAGTAAGTACAAGCCGTGATCAAAGAATTATGGACGCTCATTTTTATTTTTAACTCGTATATAGTTAATCCAAATTCCTTCACTACAATGCTTCTTATTTTATTGCATTTACGCAACCCAGGAAACCATATATTTCCAAGAAACATAAAACATTTAAATACTTGAATACAATTTCAAAAGTAGTGCTGGAAGTAAGTTATAGAGTCAAAATTCTCATTTTTAACAACTGAAATATAATCTTCCAGTTTAGTACCATTGGATAGTCAAAAACAATGCTGCGTATTCCCATGTGTAACCCAGGAGCTTTTATCACTGTTTGTAAACAGTTACGTGGCCCGGGTTCACTATGCATATATACACTCCTCTCCATAAGTTTGACTACCGGAAATTCTCTTTCCATCACCTATAAAAACCAGTTTATTTTTGGCGTCAAGTACAAAATATTCATCAAAATTGCCAAACATTTCCGAACTATTGTAATAAGGGAACAAAATTGAGATTCAAACATCGGCAGGCTTTGGTATACGATTCATTGAAAACTTCCGGCTGCCAATGACCAAACAAGAGGGGAGACCCCAGAGCTTTAGCGATGACTGACATATTACGTCTCTTGCGTACCACCTTCATTTGCGCAAATTCTCACCAGTAAGTTTTCGAATATAACGCGTCGTCGTGATGTTTTAATCGATGTAAGTATATTCCTTACATCTTTCTCTTTCATGATGTGAAATAACAAGCTATGATATTGGTAAACACGCCAGAAATTAACATAATATTATTCGAAGCGTCATTAATAATTTTGGATCCGCCATTTTTGCTAATCGATTTAGACCAATCAGAGGCGTACGCCATCTCAATACAGGTTTACATTATAAGCGTGCGTCATCTTTGAACTCTGGGGTTAATCCCCTCTGGACCAAACTTAAGAAGTGGAGTGTATATACAGGGTGTCCCGAAAGTATGCCCCCCCCCTAGGCAGACATATTCCAGTGTCCTCATAGTATGTCTTATATATCATTTTAAAGCTTATCCAAAGTTACATTGATCTGCCAAGTATTATGGTTTAACTCCCAAGTGGGAAAAAGTTACAGTCATTTTAAAAATTAGTGTTTTGTCAAAATGAAGTCCAATTTTACTCCACATTACTAGTCAATGAGTTCCCCTTGGCCATGTTAACAGCACCAATTATTTTCAGATATGACCTTAAAAGCCCTTCAAATAGGGGTGTGGAATTTTATAACCCTCTTAAAACCTGTTAAGGCACTTTAGGACAGTTTCCTTAGAGTTTCTACCCTCACCGTTCTCTTTTTCCAACTCAATATCCATCCGACCCGAAAAGAATTGCTGCTGTTACGATGGCCCGGAAGGACACATTGACTAGTGATTTGGTGTAAAATTGAACTTCATTTTGACCAAACACTAAATTTTGAAATGCCTGTAATTTTTTCACATTTGAGAGTTGAACCATGATACTTGGTGAATCAATGTAACTTTGTGTGAGCTTTTAAATGATATATGATACATACTATGACGACACTGGTATATGTCTGCCTAGAGGGGGGGGGGCATACTTTCGGGACACCCTGTATACGGTCAATAATTTCTTTTACTCCGGAATAAAACCGTCCAGGTGGTGAAGAAATTCTACTTTTGTACTTTCAGTTTCTACGACGTTACTCTAGGAATATCAGATCCAAATGTCTTCATCCCACCATCAACATGCAAGTGATTGCATGACATTATCCCACGCCAACTCCCAAATAACATCGGATGAGTAAAATAGTCTATGAACTTTTGAATAACCACAGTCAAGACTTATAAGCTGTACAAGATTTCAAAATTATTTTACCAACTCACTGTACATTTTTTATCATATGAACAAGAATACAATGTCCGTAAGGAAAAACTATAAAAAGTAGCTTTATTCGATGTTCAACAAGAGGTTTATCAACAGGGTAGATACCATGCACATTCATTTAAAGGCTATTTTTATATACAAGGCGGGCCAAAATGGCGAACTCGGTCTCAATCAGAATCTCATGATCCATATTTCAAAGCCTTTCAACATATAAATGTTAGCTTCATTTTTCTGACATGCTTAACCATATATCCTCCACCGTTTATGAAGTTAACTTTCTAAAAGAAATTAAGGAAAGGATTACAATGGTAGAACATTATCTTTTGCATTTAAAAGTTTAACATGGGCAACACAATCACAAAATTAGTATGGACAAATGCCAAAGGGATAATATAAAATGGAAAGGTATTGGAGAACGAAAACACCCATAAGGAAAACACACCACACCAACCCCATAAGCAAAGATTGGTTAATACTAGTAAGCAACTAGTAAGCAATAAGTGTGTGGCACGGTTTTAAATCATCGGTGAATATGTAATGTCCCTTTTGTCGAATGGCTTTAATATATGACCGCCATGCAAACTTACTATTCTAGTATTCTGAATAAAAAAAAGAAGATTTTGTTTCCAAATCCAAAACATTGTAAAAATTATCCAAGCTATTGCCATAGTTAGTGCCTTGCTCTATCATATATCTACATGTACATCAGTTCTATTCGGCAGATCATCCAGTTCCATTTTTCCTATAGAATCGTCGAGATCTGATTCATGGTGTGTTTCATCCAAAAGAACATTTGGTTTCACCTTCTTGATAGGATCTACGTTCAGAATGGATTCCGGGCGTCGTCTCTCGCGCCAGTAAGGTACTACCATAAGTACTGCGCTCAAAAGCATTGCACTTCCCAAGACTATGAAAGAAGCATTGTAGGAATGGAGAATATCATACAAAAATCCAGCTACCGGCCCTCCTAGCATTGTCCCAATGGCGTTAAATGGGAGGAGAACGCCGTAGCCGCTAGCTAGCTCTTCAAGTCCTAAAAATTTGCAAGTTATCCCAGGTAGCAAGACACCGAATGATGCGCTACTCCAGCCAAAGATAACCGCATACGATATCAGCGTTCCATATTGTGTGAACAAAGGGAGACATAACGTAGCTATTGCTGACACAGAGAACGCGCCTATGTACAACAGAATAGCATTAGTCACTGGATGGCTCCCTATGAATCCAATCATAAATCGTCCAATTAAATTTGAGATTCCGATCACAGAAAATAACATCGAGCTCTCGGGTCCACCTATCCCCATTACTAATGAATATTCGGAGAGATGAGAGTAAACACCAGATAAACCAAACGAAAATAAAAGATTATTTAAACATAACAAGAGAAAATCCAATGATCTAAATATATCTATGTTGAAAACTCTTTCTTTAACCTTCATCTGATTCTTGTGTTGGTCCATATCTTTAAATGGCCTCATAAAAGCGCCAATGACACATAAGTTCAAAGTGATCCCGGAGAGAATGATCAACATTCCCCTCCAACCATAGTGATGGGTTAATGTCTCTATCAATGGTGGATATATGAATGAACCAAACCCTATGCCCGACACGGCTATCCCGACAGCTATGGATCGCTTTTTGTGGAAGTAGTGATTTACTATCACCAAGTACGGAATATACGCTATTCCGAACCCAACACCTAGAAAGAAAAATTAAAAATTCACTTAAACATAAACATAACATCCGTAATTGCATAAGTACCTCAAACGATGGGTAAATCTGCTAAAGTGGTAAATAATGTGGTTCATTAAATTCAAATTTTAAAACATAAACCCTGTTGCACTTCCTAGTTTTTGAATCTTAACGTATGGCCATTAGATCTAACATACTTTAAAGAGGGGGAGGGGGATGGACAGGAATTGTGATTATACATGTAGAATACAATTTCAGTTTGTGCTTTTATAGTCTAGCATATAGGCACTAGAGTGATATAAAGATGGCAATAGTCTATCTATTTATATCTTCAGAGACCAGTACTGCCATCTTTCAATCGGCCTTGTACCTATAATGAGCTTATCGGTAGAATGTGAAACTTGTTTCATTGGGTTGCTTCCATAGTATGTTTTTTGTTGTTTCTCACGGAGCGTTCCCTGTTTTCAAATACCATATTACCTGTGACTACACCAAACGAAATGTACAAATGGTATATATTCGTTGCAAGGGCGCTTGTACCAAGACCAACTGCAGCTATGGCACCCCCTAGGATGACTACAGGTCTACATCCAAACTTGTTGATCAATATGCTACTTACAGGGCCTAGATAGAAAATAATAGAGCATACATACGTAATATAATGGAGTTGATATAGTGGCCATTTGTATTCATGATCTATTGAAGATCATTCGAAGACTAGCCCTGCATATGAAATCTAGCCCTATATTTTTCGGTGATTTATTTAATCTGAGACTAATTTTCAGGTCCGGTTTCAGGTACGATGTAAGTGTCAGGTTTATCGAATGTGACAATAGTTATTCAAATTCTCATTTGTTTGAAATTAAAATTTAATTCTTAATTTATAAAAGTACAGCATTTCGAAGTCTGTTTTTGTATCGAGATCCAGCGTGGGGTATTACTGCTGGTACATGTCAATAAATCAACAAAGTTGAATGCTTTCAACTATTTTTTTATGAGTGATAACGACCTATATTCAATATAATTCTATAATAACACAGTTTATATTTAAAAGAAACATAAAGGTAAATGTGCGATAGAATTTTATTTACTGTACTCGTTCTAAATTGGAAACATATTAGTTTGTTCATGAGCATCGTTATAACTTGAGCTTAACTGTAAGTTAAGTATTTAAAGATGTTAGTTAATTGTTGGTTGATAGTTCAACTACTCACCAACAATGTAAAGACAAGCGGTATTCAATGATCCAGCCCATGCAGTAACTCCTTTCGTTGCATGAAATGCATTGAGAAACAACACGAAGAAAACACCAACCGTCCAACTGACTCCATAAGTTATAATATGTGCAAACATAGATAAAAGCACTATAAACCAACCATATCCACCATCTTTATCGTTCCGAGTTTTTCGATTATGTTCTTTTTGAACTTTTGATGATGTTGTCAGTTTACGACTTCCCATTTTTGGTGTGCTGTGATGTACTATTTGTTATTTGTCTGCGTTTTAAAAGATGTTCCGAATCAGCTGTCTTTCATAGTAGATTCAAAGTACACGATTACAATTGAATAATCCGACACTTCATACTGCGAGGCATTCAATAATAATTAAATTGACATTATATTAAACATAACACGTAATTTGTTGTCAAGAATGGTAGGCTAGCCTGAAATACTTCAATTTTGAGAAATGTAAACTTCTCGATAACATGATTAAAAATCACAAAACCACGGTGTTATAGCATGACGGTTACGCCACCTCTGAAAACGAAGTTGGGCGGCTACGTTCACTGATTTATCCAATAAAATGGCCGCAATGGAAGAGAAAACTAAGGTTGATGCATTATTTTCTACTATTGTGTATCAATGAAAGGATGAAAGATTTATGTTTATTTTTGTTGTTAGGGCATGGTCTACATTGCCTAAAAACTTTGTGGTATATAGATACAACCTACATACGATCATACAAAGCCAATTGAGCATTGGAAATCACCTAATTTGTTCTACTCAAGCCATAATAATGTATTTTGAATTTGCAGTAACGTAAAAAATTGATGGACGGTTACGCGAACCTGTTTCAAATATGAAACCCCGATTCATTGTTATTCATTTTGTCATCTTCATCAGTACTTGATCCTAAATCTTCTTTTGCCTCTTCATTGCTATCTTTTACACTTTCATTGGTTTCATAAATAAAGCAAGCGACAGTTTTTTTCCTTGCCTTATCGAGGCTGAAACAAGAGCGTCTCTTGCGAGTCCTGAAAACATATATAGGAAATTCAATATTCCATTTCTTACCCATTATAACAATAACATGGAACGAGGCTATCAGATCTAGCAACCTTGACTTGACAGATGTACATGCACGTAACCGTCCGCTAAATATCCTTTGTACAACTAATACAATACGTTACCGTCCATAGAATTCGATAGAAGTCATACGTAGTCGTCTAACGACATTTTTTTGAAACCTTATTGTTTACTATATACACCACGTTCATGTTCTGGATTTGTCATTTATGCCTTGTTTATACACAGTTTACTTACAGTTAATATTTTGAGTGGCTCTGAGGCACATGTACTGAGAAAACACGAGAATAGACCAAAAATTATAAACTCGGATATCTCAGTAGGGAGGTCTACAGCTTATATTCTGTTTCTTGTAGACCACATGGCAGATTTGACCCAGTCTTTATAACCATTCATATATACGTCACCGAATGGAACTAGTTTAAAAGGAAATCTTATCTGTGAATATTGCCTACAGGCGAGAAAGAGGACATGCTGCCTTTCCCATCCGCCATTTTTTGTTATCGTTACCGCAAAATTTTGCAAATCGCCTTGACGTAACTGTCATGCTATAACACCGTGAAAACAGCATGAGAACGTTATACACAATATATTTGTTGTAAAATCCATGGCGATGTACACGGTGTCCAACTTAAACGCTCTCACATGCACAACGGAGCGTTTCATTACTGAAACTAAACAGAGAAACGCTCCTGAATAGGAAAACTGGCGGGCGGGAATGATTAGCCGTCTGACGATTTCCCCAATAATGGGAATAAGAGGTATGAGTTACTTAATTTGAGTACACCATTCGATGGGTGTAAAATTCATGTTTTACTTGGCTGGCTGTTGACGTTTGAAGCAATTAGGAAGAGCTGTACGAAGCAGTATACTGTAGTTATCAAAAGTAATAAACGTATTTGTCATTCTCCTTGTCAAAACCCCTTTTGTCGAGACATGTGATTAGTTGAGTCAAGATTAGAGCACCACCAAAGTATATTTTGGACAAATTTTAATGCTTCAACACACCACATTATCGTAATTGTTTTGATGACCGAAAATCAAGTCTTACAAATGATGACATTCTCATATTCAAGAAACGATCTGGTTAACACAGTGAACTGGAAACTGCTGTAGTCTAGATCTGTTTAGGAAATATATAGCTTGACTTTCCTTTTCAGGAAGAGAAAGAAAAGATCTATTATACCCCTTGGCATCAAAAGAAGAAAGATTAATTCACGTATAAACTTTTTTTTGTCAATAATTTTATGTTTTAGCACACATGTAGGCATAACATCATCTAATGTAGTCTAAGTTGGCTTGTTGCACGTGTAGCACCACCAGGTTGGGACGTTTCAATTTGCCTAACAAGTAAAAGACGTATTTGAGAGATAGATTCGATTCCGAACTCTCTTCTAATAATCTGAAAATAATATCAAAACAAAGGTAAGTGCGTTTCTAAAGGGGACATGCCATTAAGAGGCCATTCTGTGACTTAGTCATTTTTTCAAAAGTGTGAAAATAAAAAAAATCATGAAAAGTTCTTAAAATATTCTGAATAACAAGTTGAATATATATATTTAATGATGGCACAAGCAAAAGTCTGAAAACTATAATGAAATGAGGGGTTTTGACAGATGCAAAGGATGGTAGATTTGTGATGAAGAAATAGAGGTTTTTGCAGTAACAACACAATTACCTCGAAGTTATCCGTTTTGAGAGGCTGAGGACTAAACTTGACATAATTTTCAATCTCAGATTATCAGTAGTATCTAACTTAAGCCGGACAGCCACTCAAAATGTATATGATGCCCATAAGATTCATTTTTCTCAATTGAAGTCACTATTTCTGTTTTTAGCTTCAGAAGATAGGAGGTACATTAACATGCTAAGTTTACCTAGATCACAAGCCTTACCACAAATATAAAGTATATAGGAATAGAGTTGATATGTGTGAAAACCTTAAACTTCCCATTTTATGAGAAAGGGTCGATGGCAAACACTGACAGAACCCGGGTTTCTATAACACGTGCTAGAAACACGTACTAAAATAGTCTCGCAACCAGTGCTATTTACTGAACGAAACGACACGAAAACCCCGGGACAGCGTCCTATCAGAGTATTTATGGATAGGACCCCCGTATGACCATGCTATCAGTTTGAATCTATCATTAACAAACTTATGTAACAGGCCCGTAGCCAGGACCCTCTACCATTGCCAAAAATGCTTTCAAAACCATGCAGTTTTCACCATTCTGAGCACTTTTTCAAATGGTTTTGGTCATTTTTGGGCCATTTCAAAAGTGAATCCCTTGGATTTTTTTTAAAATCGACCCCCCCCCCCCCGTCAAATGCCGGCTACATCCCAGATTTAAACTTAAAACAATAAAATGCTGTATAAAACCCAGGGGATATATCATCCTCCGACTCATTTCTCCTGCATCCCTTGACCCGTACTTAAATAGTCTCGAAACCAGTGCTATTTTAACTTTTGCCGGTAGAGGCGCCATAAACTGAACGAAATGCAAAACACTCTAAACCCGGGATGTAGCATCCTTTGGTATTCATGAATTGGATTAATTGCCTGACCTTTTACCTTTCTGTCAATTTGAATTCATGCCGATAAAGGCTCTCAAAATAGAATAAAATTTGTTCTCGAAATTCAAAGATGAATTGGCTATTGCAATTAGGAGTTGGAGTCCTTATGTGTTCAAGTTTACGTTTTCAAAGGTATTTGGGATTACAGATGTAGATGAGGTTTTAATTAATGTTATAATTTCTGATAATAGCTGGCCTTGAACTTCATTGAAGTATTTGGAGTTGATGCTGTATTCAAGTCTGGATCAAATAAACTAATAAAGAAAGTTTGATGTACTGATTTATTTATTTCTATTGCAAATAACTATTTACACATGCTATTTCAAGGTCAACCCATGTGACTATTCATTTTATCAAGCGATTTATAAAGTTTTATAATTATGCATATACCTGTTGACTCACTTCAATCCTGAACATTAACAAATTTTATCTCCATTTCTGGATGTGGCTAATTCCTATTGTCCCTACTGTGGACTAGTGACAATATATATTTTGCAAAAGCCAAAAATGTATGCATTCAGTATTGAAACATCAAGTACATTGTACATCGATCACAAATAAAGACACATTTACATATATTCCAATAAATTCAAATACTGTAAAACCTGTAAATAGTGAACACCTATTGAGCCACAAAAAGTGTTCACGATAGGTATTTTCTAACTAGAGGGGATTATATACAGGAGTCGATGTGAAATCTATCTAAAGTGGTGTGCACTAAAACAGGTTTTACTGTAGTATATGAGATATAATAAAAAATGTAATACATATACCTGTAAACCATATTATATCTAATGAGCGCACAATTCCAATGAGTGCAAATGTGACTTTCTAATTGAATTTTGTCTCAATATTAACACATTGATTTTGATTAACAGAACTGATTGATATATTATAGTGAGTGATGATTTTCAACATGTTTAATGCAGATAAAAATAGTAGCTGTAGAGTATGAAAACCTAAGTGATCACAGCTAAAAGCATCATCGTCGATATTTTTCTCAATATCATACCCTTGAGTTGGCAATAACACCACAGAAAATGCACCGATTCAGGTATGTCCACATAAACTAAAATGCCTACATAATGAATACTGCAATTACTGGTTAAATTTGACAAGAAAAAACAATTTCCACAACCCCATGATTAAATGTCAATGAAAGCCCTCAAAAACTAAAAAATACAAAACACCAGAACCGCTTAATGCTTCTTCAATTTTTGAATTTTTAGAAGAAATCCAATGTTTACCAACAACAACAAATGCCCATTAGATGCTCAAATAGATTCTCCACCTCAGCAATACCAGCTGCAATTTCAAATTGGATCAATCTTCCACCTGCTATTAAATCTAAGAATACTCTTTCGAATTTTAAAAAACACCAAAGAGTACATTTCCAAAAAACGCCCTCGATTTTGTCAACAAGCCAGCTTAATCTAACAAGGGTTCAAGAAATAGTTCTCAATAAAGTGAGAGCTGACCTATACTTCAAAGCCCAGTTCTACGCTCACAACTTTCAGTCTATTGACAGCCCTAATTGCACTTGTGGAAAACCACAAACTCTGAAACATTTTCTCTTTCAATGTGACTTACTTACTATACAAAGACAGCAATTCATGGACAAACTCACTGATCTCGAACCAAACATCTTCATTCATAATCTCTCTCAAACTGATTTCATAGCTATTTTGA